AGAGAGAGAGAGAGAGAGAGAGAGAGAGAGAGAGAGAGAGAGAGAGACAGGGTTTCTCTGAAGCTTTGGAGCCTGTCCTGGAACTAGCTTTTGCAGACCAGGCTGGCCTTGAACTCAGAGATCTGCCTGCCTCTGCCTCCTGAGTGCTGGGATTGTACCAACATCACATCGCTTTTTATAATACTCTTGACAGCTGCAGCATTTATTTTTGTTTTTTGGAAAAGTGTCACATAACCTAGCTCGAAGGTGACCTTGAATACCTGAGCTTCCTCCTTCCACCTCCCAAGAGCTGGGACAACAGGAATATGCCTGAACACCCAGTTTTGCAGCGTAAATTAAGTTTTTCTGAAAACCAATGGAACCCAAGTCACTACTCAGAATTTCCCTCCGGAAGATTTAAGGTAAAGGACTTAAGTAGGAAGATTTCATTCAGACCTCAAAGGTTAAATTGCCCTACGCCTGGTTGGCGGCGAATCTCTAATGCGCATGTGCTCCCCCCCCCCCAAGCGTTGTGATTGGGCGGAGCCAGCCGCATTACGTCAATTCCGAGGCGGGAGGATGAAGTTGATTAACCATGATCTCTCCGTCCACTAGGTAAAGGCTAGGGATGTAGGAGCCCTTTGGTGAGAATGAATGAGGGCAATGTCCTGTCTATAGCTGAGGCGCGCGGTGCATCCGTTTCGAGTGACTCCTAGTCCGGTCGAGGGGGAGCAAGCTGCGGGAGGCCATGGGCCCGATGGCTTCCGGTTTCCCGCGGCGCCCCACTTTGAAGGAAGCTGTGTTCTGTCGCCGGGACTGGAATGCTGGCCCCGTGTGCCCATCGCGGAGGTCGCTGCGTCTGCGTGTGTGCGTCTCGGGGTCTACAAAGGGCACCTGCGCCTGGAACGTGCCTAGGTCGCGTGCACACTGCTACTGCGGCGTGTGTGGATGCGTGACCCCGGGCTGGAGCGCTCGGGCTCCTGGCTCCCCAGCCCGGGCAGGGTTAGCATTAGCGAAGAAGATCTGGGTTTTCGGAAGGGCTGGCAAGATACTGACCCTGGAACATCCACGGGAAGGGAATGACTTTCTTAGATTCTACATTCTTTCAGCCCTAGCTCTGCCGCTCAGCGGGTGCAACTTTGGGCAGATGTCTTAAACGTTCAGCGACCGTTTCTTCAGTTAAAACTTTAGGAATACTGCAGTAGTGAAGTGTAAATGAGATTTTGCTTGCAAGGGCTAGTGGCTGCACGTAATAGGTAGTCAACATATGGTACGCACCCACTTCTCTTCAGATCATAAGCCTTCAGTATAGTGATTTGAAAGTTGGTACACATTCCTTTCCACTCGAACACGACCTTGCACTGTCTCTCAGGTGGGTATCTAATTTTGTTATTTTTGTCTTTGTGCAATATTTTATTAAATGGCTTGACAGGGCAACTTCCAGCCTCTAGATGAAGCTGCCAAGACCCTGTAGGCATTGGCTGGGGCATGGCAGGTGGCTCTGGCTTCCCACTCTTTTGTTCTGAGATGGGGGTGGGGTGGGGTGTGCAGGATCTCATCTTTAGGTTCCAGGATGGTCAGGCAGAGGCTTCTTTGGTTGAGCTTACCTCTTGGGTCCCAGGGCAGCATTTTCTTTTACTTTGATGTTCAACACACTCACATGTCTGAGCAACACATGGTACAGACAATGTTAATATAGTAGTTAATAGGGTGGATCTCCACTGTGAATATCCTCAAGCTTCATGGCCTTGACCCTCTCTCCTCAGAGCTTCCCAGACACTACACACAACCTGGAAGCCCTTGGCCCCACTCTCCATAATGAAGCCTAGCACACCATAGCAGCCCCTTGGATCAACCAGTCTTCCTAGAAGTTTGTAACCTAGAGATCCCAGGTGGGTGTCTTTGTGCCCCAAATGTCCATGTCCATGCTACTTTTGATGGAAATGCCTATAAGGGCTTTTCTGTCTTTTAACTCTGGAGGGGTGGAGTAAAACTAGAGAAGTAGCAGATGGGAAGGAGATCCCTTAGTGATATAGTTGGAGTTAGCCATCATGGGGAGGGACCTTACTGAAGCACCCACCATGGCGACTGTTATAGATAGATACCCACGGACCTCATTGAAACAGAGTAAAGTCAGTGGTATCGCCTTGTTTCAGAAGTCACAGAAACTAAGCTGCAGCATGTTAGTGAGGGAGGCAGGTTCTTAGACAAATGCCTCGAGGCGAAAGCTGTGCCCATTCAGGGAAGAAGATGGTCTTTGGGTTGGTCATTGTAAATGAGATTGAAAGATTGTTACAAGTGTGTATCTCAGTGCTGTGCACTGCCTTACTATGGAGGCCAGATTCCTCCTCATACCCAGTGCCAGGCACTTGGGGATGCCTCAAGTTCCAGTACCTCTGAGTCAGGAGATCACAAGGCCAGGACTGGAGGCCAGACCCCAGTGGAGTTACTCTTTCTGGAGACACAAAAATGGCTGTTCATTCCAGATAGAGAGCAATGACAGACTAAGAGGATGATCCCATCCACGTAGGCCTGGGAAACCGGTGAGCCCATGCGGGTGACTTACAGGAGCCTGGGGGCCAGGAATACAAACAGTTGAAAGGCAGCATCATTACTGAAATGCCCGTCCCAGAATGGCAGGTACATTATTGGCTTCTGTTGAGCTCGCAGGCAGCTACACCGCTGAGCGGTCTCCTCTCCCCCCAGTTGCTTGCTCAGAGCTTCCAGGACAGGCGTTGCTGAGTCCTGAAAGTTTCACAAACTTTCAGACTTAGAAGTTTTTATGGGGCTGGAGAGATGGCTCAGAGGTTAAGAGCATTGCCTGCTCTTCCCAAGGTCCTGAGTTCAATTCCCAGCAACCACATGGTGGCTCACAACCATCTGTAAGGGGATCTGGTGCCCTCTTCTGGCCTGTGGGCATACACACAGAAAGAACATTGTATACTTAATAAATAAATAAATATTTAAAAAAAAAAAAAGAAGTTTTTATATCATGAGCTGGGCAACCCCTCCTCACTTACTTAGTGTTTCCTTTCCAACATTTGGAGCTTGTTTGGGATCATTTATTTTTCTTCTAGTACTTTGATTAATAGGATAGGTAGGAATTTCTTTTTATTAGAGAGAACAGGCTCTGGAAAACTACTTGCTATATTGGAAAGGATCTTTGCTCACATTTTTTTCCGAGTTACAGGTTGACTGGGGATTTGGTAAGAGCAGAGAAGCAAAAGTTAGCGTGTGCTAATAACACATCCTATGCTTATCTAAGAGGAAAACAGCTTAGCTCCTTTCTTTTTTCCTCCTTATTTGACAGTCTCATTATGGAGCAACCAGATTTCTGAGAAATTCCTTTCCCTTCCTATATCTCTGTTCTGCCCCAGGCTTTCTTCCCTCTGTTGTTCATCGTTGTGTAAATTTTCGCTACGGCTCTGGTTTCTCATCCTTGATTAACTGGGAGAAGGAAAGAAATATGAGGAGCCTAATGTTTTGAATGGACAGAATGTAACTGGAAAAAGTATGGATCTAGTTTTTGTCTTTCAGCTATCAATGCAGGAAACACAGTGGGAATAAGAAAGAGTTTATTCTGGAGCCAGATATGATCCAGCGTGGTAACAGTTGTATGGTTTTACAGTAACAACAAAGGAAACCATAATTCCAGTTGCTTTGCAAATCCATTGGTAGAAACATCTGGTAGTCGGGCTCTATAAACTTGGGGAAATCTCAGTTCCAAGCCACAGATGCTATCTGGAAGCATTCTTAGCCTTGTGGTTGGTGGAAGCTAGGAGTTTGTACATTCCAAAGCATTTATCTCATGTTCACAAAGACGTTAGGTTCCATACCGAGATGGGGAATAAATGCTTACTATGACCCAAGATAATTTAGGCTCTGGACTTGCAACATTCCAACCTTTCCACATCATCGAAGTTCTCACAGTCGGTCAGCCTTTCCAGCCACAGCTTTGTTTCAGGGAGTCTGGACTTGTAGACACTTCCTTTAGGTTTTTCAGCAAATATCACTTCCTATTCTTCTGCTGGCTTTACTTTTGCCCTTAGCTGCTGCTCAGTGTGAATAATACATTTTGTTTATCTTTTCTGTCTCTGACTGTTGTGACATTTCTATGAGGACAGCTTGTTTTGTTCTGACACCAGGCAGCACTTGGTAGCTCTTGATGAGTACTGAATGAAGGTCTCCTGCAGCAGCCCTGTGTGGACCAGAGGTCCAGCAGACATCTTAGAGTTGATTTGCTTTATTTATGTCCATTTCTGAAACTGATGTCTGTGTGCAGTTCCTGTCTGGATGCTTGGCCTAATTCCTAATTAAAATGTCTGTCTGTCATATTGCTTTTTTGTTTGTTTGTTTTTGATTTTTGTTTTTTTTTTTTTTTTTTTTTTTTTTTTGATGTTTGGAGGTAGAGTTTCTCTGTGTAACTAACAGTCCTGGCTGTCCTAGAACTCACTCTGTAGAGCAGGCTGCCCTTGAACTCACAGAGATCCTCCTGCCTTTGCCTTCCTGAGTGCTGGGATCACGGTGTGCACCACTACTGCCTGGCTTGTGTCATTCTTTTAAAAATGACTAGCCTCCAGGGGTCACAAAGCACGGTGGCTCTGGGTCAGACCCTAGTCGTTGCGCCTGAGCAGTCCTGGCAGTCGGAGTCTTTGTCAGCCCACTCCCAGTGGTTTTACACATGGCTTCTTTAGGCCCACCCTACGTGGGTGATGATTTCTGAAACTGCATCCTGGGAGCTCTCCGAGGAGCCTGCAGGCAGCTGGACACTCAGGACATCTTTCTTTTCACAATTTATCTAATCAGAGGCTCGACCACAACAATTGTTTGTGTTTATACTGCTTGGTAAGGAGTAGCCTTTGAGAGTCATCCAAGTTTCTGTTCTCTTCCTAATGCTCCCCAGTCTCCCGTTCCTTTCTGGGGAGGTGGGGGGGAATGTTTTATTTAGAGGGATTATGGTAATTTGGAGGGAAATGCCATACAACACATTGAGATCTCAGTTTTCACCTATGTCAAAGTGGGTAGGTAGGCATAGTCTGCCCTGGATTAAAGGTGCCGGACCAGCTGAGAGTTTGGTCAGGCTCCATGTGGCGCTCTGCCACGATGTGGCACCCTTTCTCCTCGTGGCACTGCCTACTGATCACTGCTTGATGACTGCCTCCCAGTGGCCACATTGCAGCGACTGGCGCCGAACCCTCTTTGGACCCTGTTTGCAGGGTTGCTGAGGGTATGTGCTTCCTGGAGAGCAGAGATGCTCAGTGTACTTGCTTTCCAGGACTGGCATGAAGTGCCCTCTAGCCTTGCTTCTCATGTTTGCTGTTAATTGATGCGGGTCTGCATTCCTCAGATGTGGGGCCCTCAGGCTGACAGCCCCAAATACAATACACTGTGGTTTGTACCAGCAAAGTCCTGCTGACCTGAAGGTGTTCCCTGCTCCCCGATCGTAAGCACTGGCACTGGTGTGAGGAGAAGAGATGTCTTGCTGGATGCTGCTTCTCAGACATGAGCTAAGAAAGAGTGGGTGCCTTTATTCCATTTTTTAAAAAAAGATTATACTTTTCGGGGGTGGGGCCAGAGAGAGGGCTCTTCTGAGTTCAGTTTTAGCACCTTCATTGGCAGGTCACAACTGCCTTAACTGTAGCTCCGTGGATCCAGTGTTTAGTTTTTAAGCTCTTTGTATATTCTAGGCACTAATCTTCTGTCAGATGGATTGATGGCGAAGATATTCTCCCATTCTGTAGGCTGCCTCTTCACACAGCGAACAATTTCCTTTGTAGAATAGATTTTCCATTACGTCTCACTTGCTGCTTGTTGGCCTATTGCCCAAGTGTCTAGAATCCAAGTAAAAAAGTCCTGTGTGTGCCTATATCTTTAACTGTACACCCAACTTTAAATTGAGGTCTTTGATCTGTTTGGAATTGATTTTTGTGCAAGGTAAGAGGTGAAGATCAAGTTTCATTTGTCTAAATGTAAACATACAGTTTTCCCAGCGCCATTTTTTGAAAATGCTTTCTTTTTCATCTTTTTTTGGGGTGGGGTGGGATAGGGTTTGAGACAGAATTTTTCTGTATAGCTGTGGGTGTCCTGGAACTTGCTTTGTAGACCAGGCTGGCCTTGAGCTCATAGATCTGCCTGCCTGCCTTTACCTCCTGAGTACTGGGATTAAAGGCATGCTTTACCACCTAGCAATTTACAGTTTTTTTTAAAAGTATTTATTTTATGTGTACATGTATTGAGAATATTATTTTAAGGTGTGTTACTTTTGTTTATACTGCATTTGATTAACTGCGAAGCTGTGATTATTTGCCTGTCGAAAACACCTGATGGTCCTAATAAAGAACTTAATGGCCAATAGCGAGACCTATGGAGGCATTCTCATTAAAACCACCACAGATGGCATCACATTCTGGCTCCGCTGCCTGCAACATACTTCTCTCTCTCTGGCTGGTTCCCTTTCTACTTTAGTGGGGGTGTTGGCAGGGTTCAGGAAAGGCTGTTGTGGAGGCTGAGGTGATGCAAGGCACCAGGCTCTCTCCCCAGTGGTGGTCCAGCAGTAACCCATCAGGAAAGGAGTGCCGGTTGTCTGAATCAGTCGTTCTCCCCCTTAGAGAGTAAAGAGACACCAGCCGTGTAGAATGTTTGTTGTGGTGATTAGAGAAAAATAAAATAGAAATCACAGTGAGGTCAGTGTTCGGTAACAGGTTGCCATGTAGAGGAGGGGGCGTATATACAGGAGGAGTGGTTGATGGAAAGAAAAAAGATGGGGTGGAGATGTAGGAGGTTTGGTTAAAAGGAGACTAAGAAGAGGTTAAAGATGTGCATGAAAACAACAGGGCAGCCTTTTCTCCCTGGAGCTGGAGTCGCAGAGACGCTAGGGCAACCAGGATACTAGGATATATAGAGAAAAGAAAGAACACTAATGCCTTTAATTCTAGTACTGGACAAGCAGAGGTAGGCGGATCTCTGAGTTCGAGGCCAGCCTAATCTACAAAGAGAGTTCCAGGACAGCCAGAGCTGTTACACAGAGAAACCCTGTCTCAAAAACAAAACAAAACAGAAGAAAAGAGTATTAAGAAAAGAGGAAGAAAACCAACATCGAGGGACTATGGTGGCCTGCTACATTGACTGTGTGTTTTTTATAAACAAAAAAGAGCTGTAGAAAGAAAGAAACAAGAGCTGGGAGGAGCCTGGGTGTGGGGCCAGATACTCTACTGACTCCCTGACCTAGTAGGAGACTTGGGGTTCGGGCCAAAGTCTCGGTGTGTTCAACGCCAAAGGTGCCTGGGAGCGGAGAGCAGGTGGGCTCGCTAGCTTCAGACGGTGATGCAGGGCAGGTGGGCTCTCTAATTACTAGCGATTCACAGAGCTGGGGCTGAAGACTGGGCAGGCTGTCGTGGTGTCTCTCCCTCCCCACTTCCTCTTCTCTGCCTGAAGTCCTGTCGGCTCTGCCCTGCTGTAAACTAGTGGCTGATCCTCCCGCTTTTACCTTGAGTGCCAGACCTACAGTGTGCGCCATTAACCTGCCACTGTTCAGACTTTCGGAAAATAGGTAGGAAGTTTCATATTTCTTTAGATAAATTCTTGTCTTCCGTTTGAAACCCTGTCTACCCTTTGGCCCAGTTTGCTTGTAATGTGGCACAGTGATCGCATGGTTCCCTTCTTACAGACCTGGACCGATTCCCTCCTAAGCTCTGGAGAGTTCGTAGGTCCAGTCTTGTGGTTTTCAGACTTACGTGGTTTAATTTCTGTGTGTAATTTCTGATTAGATACAGTTGCCTGCTTTTATGATTTGATGGGGGAATAAAAGGAGTCTTCCGGAGAGACTCTATCCCTGACAGAAAATGGTGAACTTTGGCCCAAGTGATTGAAAGGAACAATATCATCACGGGTGACATGGTTTCATATCTGAGTTGATATTCTAAAAGCCATTGCCAAAATACCTCTCGGTGGAAGAGAAAGAGAGCAGCTGACTGTGAGATCTGGCCTGAGGAACACTTCAAGGGGTACCCAGGCACGCTTACCGTGGGTCTAGGATTCACTAACCTTGTACAAGGAGGTGGCCTTAGCCTGTGAGCCCCTTGACTCTGTCACTTCCTTGTGCCGGCTTACGTGGCTCATTAGTGCTTCCTGGCGGTTCAGAGCGGCAGTGACCGGAGTGCGTACTCCTGGTGGCCTGCACATCCTTCTGGGTGGTCTGTGCGCAGTGCTTTTTGTGGAGGAAGCCTTCCGCTTCCGATGTCTCTCCCTGTTTCCTGTTATGGTCAAATAGCCCTGGGAAGACTCGATCCCTTTTTTTCTGCCAGTTGATATCTGGAAAACTTCAACAAAGTAAGTTGCCCCCCGCCTCCTTTTGGTTTGTTTTTCTTTTTGATTTTTTTGAAACAGGGTTTCTTTGTGTAACCCTGGCTGTCCTGTGTCCTGGAGCTCTGTAGACCAGGCTGGCCACAAACTCATAGAGATCCACTTGCCCCGCCTCCCAATTACTGGGTTTAAGGTGTACACCACCCTGCCTGGCAGGTTTTTGTTTTGCTTTTTTCTTTGAGCGGGGTTTCACTATGTATACCATACTGGCCTTAAACTCACTGCCTCTGCTTCCTCCTGGGATCCCACTCTTTTTTTGTTTGTTTGTTTTTGTTTTTGTTTTTGTTTTTTTTTTGAATTTTGAGACAAGGTTTCTCTGTGTACTCTGTGTAGCTTTGAAACCTGTCCTGGCACTTGCTCTGTAGACCAGACTGAACTAAAACTCACAGCGACCCACCTGCCTCTGCCTCCCAAGTGCAGGAATTAAAGGTGTGCGCCACCACCCACTTCTTTTTATACTGTCACCCTCGCCTTCCTGCTTCGTGATTTGGCTACATCTTGAACTAGAAGCTAATAAGCATTTGTGTGTAAAACGTTCATTTTATAAATGTACTAAAGCCCTCTTGTGAGCTATTTTTTTTTACATTTTTTTATTGATATTTATTGAGCTCTACATTTTTCTCTGCTCCCCTCCCTGCCTCTCCCTTCACCCCTTCAACCCTCCCCAAAGCCCCCATGCTCCCAATTTACTCAGGAGATCTTGTCTTTTTCTACTTTCTACTTCCCATATAGATTATATCTATGTAAGTCTCTCTTAGTGTTCTCATTGTTGTCTAAGTTCTCTGGGATTGTGGTTTGTAGGCTGGCTTTCTTTGCTTTATGTTTAAAAACCACCTATGAGTGAGTACATATGATAATTGTCTTTATGTGTCTGGGTTACCTTACTCAAAATAATGTCTTCTAGCTCCATCCATTTTCCTGAAAAATTCAAGCTGTTGCTGTTTTTTTTTTCTGTTGTGTAGTACTCCATTGTGTAAATGCACCACATTTTCCTTATCCATTCTTCAGTTGAGGGGCATTTAGATTGTTTCCAGGTTCTGGCTATGACAAACAATGCTGCTATGAACATAGTTGAGCACATGTCCTTGTGGCACGATTGAGCATCCTTTGGATATATACCCAAAAGTGGTATTACTGGGTCTTAAGGAAGGTTGTTTCTTAATTTTCTGAGAAATCGACACACTGACATCCAAAGGGGTTGTACCAGCTTGCATTCCCACCAGCAATGCAGAAGTGTTCCCTTTTCCCCACAACCTCTCCAGCATAAGTTGTCATCAGTGTTTTTGATCTTGGCCATTCTTACAGATATAAGATGGAATCTCAGAGTTATTTTGCTTTGCATTTCTCTGATGACTAAGGATGTTGAACATTTCCTTAAGTGTCTTTCAGCCATTTTAGATTCCTCTATTGAGAGTTCTCTGTTTAGGTCTTTTTTTCATTGGATTATGTGATCTTTTGGTGTCCAGTTTCTTGAGTTCTTTGTATATTTTGGAGATCAGACCTCTGTCTGATGTGGGGTTAGTGAAGATCTTTTCCCATTCTGTAGGCTGTCATTTTGTCTTGATGACCGTGTCTTTTGCTTTACAGAGCTTTTCAGTTTCAGGAGGTCCCATTTATTAATTGTTTCTCTCAGTGTCTGTGCTGCTGGGGTTATATTTAGGAAGTGGTTCCCTGTGCCAATGCGTTCAAGTGTACTTCCCACTTTCTCTTCTATAAGGTTCAGTGTGGCTGACCTTATGTTGAGGTCTTTGATCCATTTGGTCTTGAGTTTTGTGCATGGTGATAGATATGGGTCTATTTCCATTCTTCTACATGCTGATATCCAGTTATGCCAGCACCACTTGTTAAATATGTTTTCTTTGTTCCATTTGATATTTTTTACTTCTTTATCAAAGATCAAGTGTTCAAAGATGTGGGGATTGATAACCAGGTCTTTGATTCAGTTCCACTGTTCCTCCCGTCTGTTCTTATGCCAATACCAGGCTGTTTTCAGTACTGTAGCTCTGTAGTAGAGTTTGAAGTCAGGGATTGTGATGCCTCCAAAAGTTCTTGTATTGTACATCATGAGCTACTTTGAAAGGAAACAGCCTTGGTTTTGACCTTGAGTTATAGAGAAGATTCTTTCTTTTTTAAAGATTTATTTATTATCTATACAGTGGTCTATAGGCCTGCAGGCCAGAAGAGGGCACCAGATATCATCTTGAATGATTGTGAGCCACCATGTAGTTGCTGGGAGTTGAACTCAGGACCTTTGGAAGAGCAGCCAGTGCTCTTAACCTCTGAGCTATCTCTCCAGCCCAAGATTTATTTCTCAATCTGGAAATGTGACTGCCCAAGACAAAGATTCCCTTCTTTTTTTCAGCAAGGTTCCCCATACTCTCTGGGCCATCTTCGTCCAGTTATTTCAGAGAGGCCAGGAAGGCCCAAGCAGCCTGGGGACTCATCGGTGTAGTTATGTGCACTGTAGTGTAGAATAGGCTGATGGCTATTTAAATATTTGAAAAATGATTGTGTCTTAGGGTTATCATCACTGTGATGAAACACCATGACTAAAGCCAAGTTGGGGAGGAAAAGGGTTTATTTGGCTTACCCCTCCACATCATGAAGGAAGTCAGGGTGCATGCGTTTAGACATGGGATGCAAACTTTTTTGTGCATGTGACAAATTTTGATCTCTTTGTTCATTTATGATTTGTGCAGGTAAAAAAATTAAACTTCACTGAACCCTATTTAGTGAGTTTCTTTGATTTGGAAAGAGCGAGCGTTGCCCAGGTTTCTTTGAGACTCTGCTGTGAAGCGACTTTGAGGTCTGAGATTGCTCTGCCTGAGGCTGCCGCTGCTTCTGGCAACTGCCCCCCTTGAACGTGCAGCGGCACCAAGGGGGGATCACACCCGTTAACAGACCCGAGTGAAGGGGACAGAAGCCTAAGCCGGAGTGACAGTGGGATTGTACCTGCCAGGCTAGGTGGAAGATGGGTCTTCAAGGCCTTGTGCTGCTGTGGCTATACCACGTTTAGTGTCTGTAAGTTTCTGGAGCCTCTAGGTAATTCTTGTTGCTTTGCTCTTGTGGCCTTTGGTGTAGCTGTGGTTCAGTCCATGTTGTGGGTGTGGAATGGGGCTGAGACTCTGCTGGTTGTGGGCGTGAGGGGCCCATGAGAGGATGTACAGTGTGGTCTGCAGCTAACAAGCCTAGTAAGGCTCTGGTCCTTGTTCAGAGGCTCAGCTCTGCTGTTCTTCCCTGAGGAGGGGTCCTCCCCCCCATCTTCCCATTACCTGGGTAGTGACAAGCTCCTGGGCCATTTTGGACAAGGCAGGGCCATTTCACACTTGCTTGGTACAAGGAGCTGAGATTTTTGTGAGAAAAAAAATTTCTCCAAGTTCTCAACTCAGCTGGGTTGAGCCTCAGTCTCCTCCCACCCTCGTCTAAACATGGAAAGACTGGAGTAGGGTCTGCATAGCTTCGACTAATCCCTGTTTCTCCTGCATTGTCCCTGACTGATTTGGTTTGGTTTGGTTCTTCCAGGAAGAGCATGCTGAAGGAGAGGGTCATGGACCTGGTCACCCAGACGGCCATCCTGCCCCTGCTGTTCGGCTGCCTGGGGATTTTCAGCCTCTTCCGGGTGCTACAGCGGATCCGCTCAAGGGCTCACCTGAGGGATGCTGTGGTGGTGATTACAGGTGCCACGTCAGGGCTCGGCAGAGGTAAGCCACAGACCTGTGGTGCCAGGAGTGGGATCAGCAGGCTTCCTGGGCATCACGGGACATGCGGAAGGGATCCGCCGTCTGTGGTTCAATTGGAAAAGAAGGGCGTGTAAGCAATGGAAACGGCCTGAACCTCAGTATGTGGGGTGAAAGCTGGAAGCAGCGGCCTCCCTCAGCTCGGCTGCTTATTCAGTGGGATCTTCAGATATGGGGAACTCGGTGGGTAGGTGTGTTTACCTTTTCCTGGGTTTGCTGATGCACTGGCCTTGGTTTTTCGGCTTGATGCTGGCTTTCATGCTTTCCCTCCTCCGGGTCAGGGACTAAGCAGGATTAGAGGTCAGGTCCATGAGGCCCCTGCTTTCCAAACCCAGGCCTTCCAGCTCAGTGCCCTTGCCCTTCAGTGATACATCTGAGTCTGGGGGAAAATATGCTGGATGAAGCTCTGTGAATGACTCCAGAAGCCCAGGCAGAGGCTTACGACAGACTTGCCACGTAGAGCGGCAGCCTGCCCTCTTTCCTCAGCCTCTGCCCCCCAGTAGCAGCTCCTTGTGGCTCCAGTGCCATTTCAGGGAGGACGTTGGGGAGCCCTGGGATTGGGCTCAACTCTTGCGTCAGTACAGTGCGGCCTCAGCAGCGTGTTCCCAGCAGGTGTGGTGGGAGGGGCAGTTATCCGTGCTCTCTGTGTTCTCACTGCGGAGATTCCGGACACCGTGACCAGAGCTAGGACCTGCAGTAGCAGCTGCAGCGCTAGGAGCCAAACCCAGGTCTGACTCAGAGCTCAATCCTAAAACCTCAGCTCCCTTCAAAGAATGTGTGGGTCATAGGGGTCGTCCAGATGCCCCAATCGTAGGAGCAGAGGGCGGGAAAAGGTGAGTGTTACAGGAACACAAAGGAGCAGACAGGCCTGTAGAGAGAGTGTGTGTGTGTGTGTGTGTGTATGTGTGTGTGAGGGGTGCTAGGGAAGGCTCTTGGGCTCACTTGTACACCTGATGCTATGACTAGTAGGCAAGGTCTCTGAGGGTGACCCCCGTGTTTGCCTTTAGATCTTTAGACTTTTTTTCTTTCCCCCGAGACAGGGTTTCTCTGTAACAGCCCTGTTTGGCTTGAAACTAGCTTTGTAGACCAGACTGGCCTCAGACTCAGAGATCTGCCTGCCTCTGCCTCCCCTGGCAGAGTGCTGGGATTAAAGGTGTGCGCCGCCACCACCACCCGGTGACCTTTAGACATTGTAGGGTACAGCTGTTCCAGGCCTTATGCCATTGGTCAGGCCACTGACTTACTCAGCGACTATAAATAGGGTAGTCAGCAGCTGCTTCTTGGATCTCAGTGAGAAGGAGCAATTTGGGTCTTTTTTTTTTTTTTTTTTTTTTTTGAGACAGGGTCTTACTGTAAAGCCCTAGCTGGCTAAGAATTGGCTATATAGACCAGGTAGGCCTTGAACTTGTGATGGTCTTCTGGCCTCTGCTTCCCTGGTACTGAGATTCCCTATTCCCATGCTCAGCTTGAGAAGAACAAATTTTAAAATCCTTGAAGAACCAAAAGCAATCTACAGATTCAACACAATGCCCATCAAAATCCCAGCAAAATTCTTCAAAGACCTCGAAAGAACGGTACTCAACTTCATTTGGAAAAGCAAAAAACCCAGAATAGCCAAAACAATCCTGTATAACAAAAGAACTTCTGGAGGTATCACAATCCCTGACTTCAAACTCTACTACAGAGCTACAGTACTGAAAACAACCTGGTATTGGCATAAGAAAAGACAGGAGGAACAGTGGAACTGAATCAAAGACCTGATTATCAATCCCCACATCTTCGAACACTTGATCTTTGATAAAGAAGTAAAAAATATCAAATGGAACAAAGAAAACATATTTAACAAGTGGTGCTGGCATAACTGGATATCAGCATGTAGAAGAATGGAAATAGACCCATATCTATCACCATGCACAAAACTCAAGACCAAATGGATCAAAGACCTCAACATAAGGTCAGCCACACTGAACCTTATAGAAGAGAAAGTGGAAAGTACACTTGAACGCATTGGCACAGGAAACCACTTCCTAAATATAACCCCAGCAGCACAGACACTGAGAGAAACAATTAATAAATGGGACTTCCTGAAACTGAACAGCTTCTGTAAAGGAAAGGATACGGTCATCAAGACAAAATGACAGCCTACAGAATGGGTATTATTATTTATATCTTACAGAAGGGGAAATGGAGAAATAGATTGTAACATAGATGACTATCACAGAACCTATAAGCAAAGAAAGTCTAGAGTTGTACACAGACCTAACACAAGTCCATTCTCCGGAGCACTGGGCTCCCCCCTGTCCAAAAAGGCAGATATTGGGGTACTGAGAGTTAGCTAGGACATGATTGGGGGAAGGTAAACAAGGAGCAAGAAGCATTCTTCTGCTTTCCCTTACTTAATCTTGCTGCCTGAGCTGGGCGGTGGTGGTGCACGCCTTTAATCCCAGCACTTGGGAGGCAGAGGCAGGCAGATCTCTGTGAGTTCGAGGCCAGCTGGTCTACAGAGGGAATTCCAGGACAGACTCCAAAGCTACCGAGAAACACTGTCTTGAAAAACAACAACAGCAACAACAGTATTTGCTACCTGGACCTCTTCTCCAGCCCAGCAAGGCTATAGGCCCAGCATCACCCTCCATGGCTTCTCAGGTGCTTTAGGTACCAGTTCTCTGCTTCCAGCATTTCCTAGGCACCTACTCTTTGGGGTCAGGACTCCCAAAGGGCCTGGCCTCTCTGCTTTGATTTTCCAAAGAACTGTGTATGTGTATATGCCAGTTACATTAGTGGTCTGGGGAGCAGCATTGGTGCTGGAACATGACGGCTAGCGCTACTTGTGGAAGTGGCTTGAGTTTATTGGGACAGGTCTCGAACTCTGATTAGCCTTGCCGGGCTTCATCAGTAACAAATGAGTTGATGCCCACAGGGTTACATAAGAACACCGTGGAAAATTCTGAGCATTATACTCACAAACACGTCCACCTTCCTGGCTTTTCTCTGCCTTATAAATGTATGTTACAGCCAGGTGTTGGTGGCACACACCTTTAATCCCAGCATTCTGGAGGCAGAGACAGGCAGATCTCTGTGAGTTCGAGGCCAGCCTGGTCTACAAAGCATGTTCCATGACAGCTAGGGCTGTTACACAGAGAAACCTTGTCTCGAAAAACAAAAAACAAAACAAAACAAAACACTATCACACCTCTGATTGGAACCCTCCACTGGGGCTTACCTCCAAGCTCCACACTGTTGGCACATACGTGTCAAGTGTGTGAGAAGCAGTCCTTGTGTGGCGCTGGGTGACTTTGCACTGCCTGGAGGGGAAATGGCACTAGATAATATCAGCTGTCTTTTCTTTTCCCTTAGAATGTGCCAGAGTCTTCCATGCTGCAGGGGCAAAGCTGGTACTCTGTGGTCGAAACGTGGAAGCCCTTGAAGCGCTCACCAGTGAACTTGCTGGTTCTCGTACCTCCCAGGTGAGCCTATAGCAAGGGTTTCTGTGGGGGAAGGAAGTTAGAGAACCATCCACATTTTATACCCGACATCGCCATCCGATGCCAGCCACCACTGCCCAGTCCCCTCCATACTCATCTAGTAGGGTGTTGACTGGAGAGGTTGGAGAGGTGATGATTTTTTTTTTTTTAAATTATCTTATGGGCTGGAGAGATGGATCAGAGGTTAAGAACATTGGCTGCTCTTCCAGAGGTCCTGAATTCAATTCCCAGCAACCACACGTTGGCTCACAAATGAGATCTGGTACCCTCTTCTGGCCTGGCATCAAACTCACAGAAATCTGTCTGCCTCTGTCTTCCAAGTGCTGGGTTTAGAGGTCATGTGCCACCACCACCCAGCCGTGCTGATCATTTTTAATATAATGGATTTTATTCTTCGAGGGATTCACACATCCATACAATGTATTTTGGTTTCAGCAGCTACCTGGTGACTGCAATCTGCCCCTGGTAGCTGTGACTTGCCAGCCAAGCATTCCCTTGGTAATTACATTCAGGTAACCTGGAGCCTCAGGTCACTTCACAGAGTTTCTGCTAGGACAGCTGTCCAGGTGGCGATGGGTTCCCCGAGCTTCCGGCTCTTGCTGAGCTGCGCAGCAGAACCATGCTGGGCCCGATCCTCCAGCACCTGGGACTTACTCTGCAGCAGCTTTGTGACTGTAGAGGTGAACTGCCCTCCCCTCCCCTTCAGACTGCGTCAGCAGCCATGCCTTTCTGTGTCCCAGGGTCAGGCCTTCTGGGAACATATGGATAACATGTCATAAACAGATGAGTAGACGTGACAGCCACGGATGGATGGCACCTGTGACTGTTGAGTGTCATAATGTACAGTGTGGAGCAGCAAAGGCAGCTCTTGTTAATAACTCATGTGGTAACGTACACACCATACATGTATGTTCACACCATACATGATTCTGACCTGTGACTGGATCTCTAAGTTTGGCTGATGAAGGTAAGAGGCGCCCTTGGCCACTTCTTGTAGAATATAGCAGTTACCTTCAATCTAGGAGAAATTTGTCCAGATAGATGTGAACACCCCAGGCTGGAACTTCATAGGCTGCGTCTTTGGAAGAGGGTTGCCACAATTTAGAGCATTTGTGCCAACTGGACCAGTCCCAAAACTCTGAAATGCAGGAACATGGCTGCCACTCATGAAGTACATTTTGTGTTTTTTATTTGGCCAGGGACAGACATACAAACCTTACACGGTGACCTTCGACCTCACAGATCCTGGGGCTATTGCTGCAGCAGCAACTAAGATCCTACAGTGCTTTGGCTATGTGGACATCCTCATCAATAATGCTGGGGTCAGCTACCGCGGTACCATCAGTGATACCATAGTGGACGTGGACAGGAAGGTGATGGAGATAAACTACTTCGGCCCTGTTGCACTAACAAAAGGTAGGGGCATCTTGGGGTAGGACATGTGAGCACCAGTCATTAGAATGCCTCTTAATCTTGCTTGGTTTCTTTTTAATGAGACAGTGTCCCTGTCCATTCTGCCCCTTGCAGTGGGTGTGGTCATTAGAGTCTGGGTGTTTTGCTTTTTCTGGGTTTATATTTGCATTGTATTTGTTTTGCGCCCTCACGTAAGTGTTGGTCTCATTGATGCAGCTTTTCATTTCTGCTTCACGGTACCTGCATCCCACAATGTTTTGATGTACAGATACAGACTTCAGGTCAGAGGTTAAGCTCCCTGTAGGCTGGGGGACTGTGCTGTTTGTATGGTTCTCCGTGGAGAACTATAGCGCCCCCTCCAGCAGCACCAGGCACAGTGGTTAGGAGCCGCTGTTGAACTTTCCACCCTGTCCCCTTAGCACTCCTGCCCTCCATGGTCAAGAGGAAGAAAGGCCACATCGTCGCCATCAGCAGCATCCAGGGCAAGATCAGCATTCCTTTTCGATCAGCATGTAAGTACTTTGGCCTTCCTTTCCCAGAGCATTTTATTTTTTCTGATTATAAAAATGATGTGTTCATTAGCTAATGCATAGACTGTAGAAATACCCTACAGATACATGAGTAACTTCATCAGAATGTTCTTTCTGGGTTTTTGTTTTGTTTTGTTTTGAGACACAGTTTTTGTACTTAGCCTTGGCTGTCTGGAAACTTGCACTGTAGACCGGGCTGTCCTTGAACTCACTCCAAGGACCAGTGCGATCTGGTTAGCCTGGCGAAGAAGGGGCTGGGCTGTCTCAGCACTTGGAAAGGACAGTGACAACGCTCAGTTCAATAGAGGGTAGCTGACCATGAAGAGCATTTTCTTCCTCCCAGGTCTGGACCTCGGTTCTGCCTTTTGGCTCTCCATGTGTGTCCTTGGACCTTCACTAACTTCCGGCCCTAAGCTTTCTACGCCACATCCTCACGTCCACGCCTCCCGGGCTGGCTCAGGGGTACAGTGAGATGTGCTCTGTAATTGAAGACAGTGCAGCCTTATGTTTCTATGAGGATTTCTCTGTTGTCTCGTCTTTGTTTTAATCCTGACAGCATTGGACACTTACCTAAGGCTGCTCAGATGACTCTGCAGAAAGCCAAAACCAAACCGCCATAATCAGGAATGACTAAGCAACTAAGGCCCAGTGTTAATAATGAGTAAAGTGGATTAGAGGTTTAGAGAGTGTGTAATGAGTTATTATACTCCACATTTTACTTTGACTTATTCTCACTAGCTTTCTCTACTTGCTCACTGACTGCAGCAGTATACACAGTGGTCTGGATACTATATGGTTAACCAGATTGGGTCTGGCCAGCTTCCTAGGCAGGTAGGGTTAACCCAGTGATGAACAGCCTTTTAGCAGTGGAGTGGGAGAAATAGCCTTATCCCCTTCTGCTGTTAGACTTCTGAGACATTCACAGCAGAGTACATACATTGGGGGGTGGCACTTTGTGAGCCCAGAGGAGGGCCAGCTTTAACTGGAGTATTGTGGGCTTGCTGTGCAAGGCATAAGTTAAAGCCATGGCCTGGGAGCTCTAGAGTGACCCTAGCTGTCAATATGGGCTTCTGCTTTGAAGACCCAGAATGGCTGCTCTCCCAGAGTCACAGGCCCTGCCTGCTCATCCCGGCCAGCACCTACTCACAGTGCCCTGCTGCCTCCTGGAGCCTGTGGTGCCTTGCTTTGCCCTCCCAGTTCGCCTGGCTGATGGGAGCCCCTGTTGACTCCAGACTAGAGGCGATAAGTTTTCTGTGGAGACGATGGCTTGTTTCCTGAGAGCCTCACTTAGGGTCTCTGTCCCTGAGCACCTGCCCTGGACTGGGGAGCTGCTGCTGGGGAGCAGAGGGGCGTGTCTCCTAGGCAGAACAGGCTCAGTTCCTCCATATGGAAGCAGGCTTGAGTCTGCACAGCCCTCCATGAGGGAGGCTCCCTGAGGCCATCCTCAGCAGCGACAAAGACTGGAAACAAAGCTTGTGAAGGCTCCTGTGGGGTCCAGTCTGTCACTGGGGGATCCCCTCCCCACACAGGACTTAGATAGACCCGCTTGGCAGAGCTGAATATGTGAATATGTATATACACACCAAATATATATATATATATACATATATATATATATATAAAATTTTTTATGAACCATTTGAGAATGCTGAAGGGATGGCAGCACTTTATTCCTATAGGATAAATAAGAAGATTCCTTAGTATCTTCTAAGAACCAGGACAAAGCAGACTTGTCAGAATCAGGACATGAACATGGCTGTAGTGTTGTAATCACCAGCACCCTTTCTGCCTCCGTCCACACCTACAGATGCAGCCTCCAAGCATGCCACCCAGGCATTCTTTGACTGTCTGCGTGCTGAGATGCAGCAGGATGGCATCGAGGTGACTGTGATAAGCCCTGGCTACATCTATACCAATCTCTCTGTAAATGCTGTCACTGCCGATGGCTCCAGATACGGAGGTAGGTCTGGTTTCTCTCCTTCATCAGAAAAAGGACAGACTGACTGTAATGAAGCACTCTGCTGGCTTGAGTGTTGGCTGCAGATGTGGACTGCTGTGGACCTGGCACTTCCCCACCCAGACCTCCCTTGGGTCTCAAATTCAGCTTTTAGAACAAGATTCCCCATAGGTAGAGAATTGGGACATAAAATCCTTCACCAAATTTCCACTAACTCATCTGCAGACCCTCAAGGCCTAAAGAATATTATAATTAAGACTAAGTAAATTGAACTCAGAGCTAGCAGGGGTGGGGGAGGGGGTGGGGTCGGAGGAAGAAAGGGGCACTTGGTATGATCAACTCCTGCCAGGGTGTTGGGGAAATGGCTAGTTTCAGGGAGTGTTCAGATGAGGCTGGATGAGGTGGAGCAGGATCAGTCTCTAACCTACTCAGCCAGAAGCTGTGCTGAGCTGACCTCGGGTGCTGCTCATGGGTTAGCAGCCTGACTCCTGCTTATACATAACAGAAGCAGACAAAGAACAGTTGCCTTCCATCTTGGGTCAACTATTAGAGCCAGCCTTACCTTCCCGAGCTTGGAGCAGGCCTGCTATCTGTCCAGCAGACTAACACTAAGCCCTGCCCCTAGGCTGTGGTCCGTGTTCTGTGGTCTATGCTGCTGCTGTTGTCCAGGTCCTGAGGGTCTCGCACCCATCTGAGCAGGCCTGAATCAAGACCACTCCAATCCAGGTGGCTGCTTTGCCACACACAGCAATCTCCTCACAGAAAGCCACAGTGGCAGGAGCCAGACAGCTGCAAACCTGTTCATCCTAGAAAATTCAGCTCAAGCTGTTCTCAATTTCCCATTCTCCTGTGGTGAACACACAGGAGGACAGATCCCCGTGGGAGCTCGGGTTCTGGGTGGCGTGTGCTAATGGCCTCTTCTGTGTCTGTCAACTGGTTCTGCTCCATTAATAAGTTGGATGAGTCACCAGCAAAGAAGGAACATTAGATGCTGTTACCCTACACCCGCCTAACCGTCCCAGCTGTTCCTCCTCCAGCCCTTGCAAGCCACTGGGAACTAGGACAGCTGTTTATTCCCGTCTCAGTGCACAGGGGTGCACATGGGGTCAGATGGTCTCTACCATCTATCTCCTCTCCTCAGACAGCCTTGTGAACCAGCCAGGGCAGAGCAGATAATATACCATCCCCTAGTCACTGCTTTTCCCCAATGCAGAATATCCAAGGTCAAGAAAACTCTCAGGCCATTAAATGATTCATGGGTAACACTGCCACCAAGCCTCCTGACACCCCCCTCCCCTTTAAGGTTTTTGTATTTATATGTATACGAATGCTCTGTCTTCGTGCATGCCAGAAGAGGGAATCACATTCTGTTATAGATGTAAGCCACTATGTGGTTGCTGGGAATTGAACTCAGGACTTCTGGAAGAGCAACCAGTGTTCTTAGCTGCTGAGCCATCTCTCCAGTCCTGGCAATCTTGAGATATGGGGTGGGGTTCACTCTGAGACCTATCTATGCTGGCTTTTGGCATCTGTCACAGACCACCAAGCAGGCACACTCTCTAGTTAGTTGGTTTCCACACACTAACTGGTATACCGTCTGCCATCCTGCCTGTATCTCTGTAGCCCCCATTTACCTGCTTTGAACCATAAACAGTTCCTCATTTTCTCAGTGTAATCATCTACTTCCAGGAGGGGCTCTGGGAAGCTGGCCCCATGACTCTTCATTTATCCTCATGTTCTTTCCTTCCGTTTGCTGTAGCTCTAGACAAGAACACAGCCCAGGGCAGAAGCCCTGCAGAGGTGGCCCAGGATGTCCTTACTGCCGTGGGGAAGAAGAAAAAGGATGTGATCCTGACTGACTTACTGCCGTTCTTGGCCGTCTATCTCAGAACTCTGGCTCCTGGGATTTTCTTCAGAGTCATGGCCTCTAGGGCCAGAAAAGAGCGGAAATCCAAGAATTCGTGATGTTGGTCAGAGCTGCTAGCCTGGATCAGCCTGATCAGCCTGAGTACCACCCCCTTCTGGGCTAGGATGACTCTGCAAGGGATTCATGGCTGAGACCTGCTGATGAGCTGTCTTGCACTCTGAGGTGGACAGAAGCACTTCTGTTCTCTCTGGGGGTGGGTTAGCCTGTAAGACGTAAAATGTGGAGTTGGGCTGGGGCTCTACAGATGTGAAATAAATGACTGAACAGTAGGTCAGAGTTCTCATAGAACCACATGTCCCCTGAGGCCTGGGCCTGCCAGATTCCAGTTGTTCTGGAGGTTTGGGAACTAGGTCTCCTTATTGCACCAATTCCATATCTGTATTTTTGGTTTGTTGTTGTTGTTGTTTTCTGAGACAGGGTTTCTCTTGTGTAGCCCTGGCTGTCCTGGAACTCCCTCTGTAGGCAAGGCTGGCCTCACTCAATGATCAGCCTGCTTCTGCCTCCAAAGTGCTGGGATTAAAGGCATGCACCACCACCGTCCAGCCACCTCTGACTTATTGAAAATGGATTCACTGAGCAGGTCAATTTCCTTTCCAAGTTTAGAAAGAGATTTTTCCTGTTACAGAAGCTGAAATCATAGGAAATCATTTCCCCAAATCAAAGTAAATCTCCCACATAAAGCTGTCATCTTCACTCAGCTCTGGGCCTGCCAAACTGCCTTTTAAGATCACTTAATAGATATAGGTCGTGTGTTAGGCAAAACCCCTCCTTCCTGTCTGCTCCTGCTTCACCCATCAGCTACCTTAAGTCCCCATCTCTTTCACTTCTATTTTAATGCATATCATTTTAAGTGGCCGTATGAAATTTAGAAATCACAAACTAGGAAACACGCGATACTTATTTTCTGAGACTGGTTAATTGATGATATTGTCTCCCGTTGGGTTCGTTTTTCCACAAATGTACAAAACTTCATTCTTTATGGCTGAAGAAAGCCCAGTGTATGTGACATTTTCCTTATCTCTGTTTCGTGTCTGATGCTGGATACCTAGGCTGGTGGCATAGCTTAGCTGTTGTGAACAGTGCTGCAGCGCACACTGCTGACAGGTGTCACAGTCTGTGTCCTTTAGGTGACCATCAAGGGGTGGTATAGTGTGTGGCATATCTAGAGTTGTTGGTTTTGTTTGCATTTTTTGAGACCAGGTTTCTCTGTAGCTTTAGAGCCTATCCTGGAACTAGCTCTTGTAGACCATGCTGGCCCCAAACTCATAGAGATACGCCTGCCTCTACCTCCATGTGCTGGGACTAAAGGCATGCACCACCACTACCTGGCCAGATCTATAGTGTTATGAGAAACTTCCATACTGGTTTCTGTGGGGTCACAGTGGTTTAGATTCTATTCAGCAGTGCATGAGGGTTCCCTTTTATCTATATCCAAGCCAGCATTTGCTATTTTCTTTCTTCCTCTTTATTTCTTTTCCTGGTCTTTTGAGATGGGGTCTCTCTATATAGCCCCTGGCTGTCCTGGAACTCCTTCTGTAGACCAGGTTGGCCTTGAACACAGAGATCTGCCTGCCTCTGCCTCCCGAGTGCTGGGATTATAGGTGTGCACCACCACTGCCCAGTGTATTTGCTGTTTTATTTTCCTTCCCTGTCACCCCTTACTTTTTCTTGAGTTTCGCATTTTACATGGAGGTATCTGATTTGGAATTGACTTGTGTGGGGTGAGATGAAGATCTGGTTTCATTCTTGACCATGTGAATGCTCAGGCCTCACAGCACCATTTGTGCATTCTTGGCATCTTCGTAAAAAAATGGCTTTTAATCTGTGTCTTTTATTTTGTTCCATTAATCTATGTCTGTGTTCAATGCCAATACTGTGCCATTTTTGTTACTATAACTCTGTAATATAACTTGAAGTCAGGGGCTGGCTGCAGAGATGGCTCAGAAGTTAAGCTGTTCTTCCAGAGGTCCCGAGTTCAATTCTTGCAACCACATGGTGGCTCACAACCATCTATAATGAGATCTGTCGCCCTCTTCTGGCAGGCAGACAGAACACTGTATACTGAAGTCATTTATTCATTTATGGTGATAACCGCCCACATTTATTCTTTTTAAGATTACTTTGGCTATCTAGGTTTTCTTTCTCTCTTTTATTCTAGTATTTTTTAAGAATGGCTTTTGAATTTTGGTGCAATTGCATTGACTCTGTGGCTATCATTTGATATGGTGGTCAGTTTCCTTCCTTCCTTCCCTCCCAGACTGTATCTCAGTCTGGCCTCAAACTCACTGTGGTAAGGACGGCTTTTAACTCCCCCCTTTTTTTCAAGACAAGGTTTCTCTGTAGTCTTAGACCAGTACTGGAATTAGCTCTTGTAGACCAGGCTGGCCTTGAACTCACAAGGATCCACCTGCCTCTGCCTCCCAAGTGCTGGGATTAAAGGCCTGCGCCACCACTGCCTGGTGGCTTTTAACTCCCAGTCCTCCCATCCCTCCTTCTCAAGTCCTGGGTTTCCATGCATGTGTCACAAAGTACCAACTTAAGGAGTGCTAAAGATCAGACCTAGGGCCTCATGCATGCTAGGAGGCAGTCTCTTACAAACTGAGCTACATCCATAACCCAAAACAGTCATTTTTACATTAATTCTCCCAGCCCATTAAGAATGGAGGTCCTAGCTGGCCAGCCTGGTCTACAAGAGCGAGTTCCAGGACAGGCACCAAAGCTAGAGAAACCCTGTCTCAAAAAACCAAAAAAGGAAAAAAAGAAGAGAGAGAGAGAATGGAGGTCCTTTCCTCATCTACTGTCTTCACTTTTTCTCAAGACAGACTGGAACAGTCGGTTTGTAGACCAGGCGGCCTTGGACTCTCACAGATCCACTTGCCTCCACCTCCTGAGTGTTGAGATTAAAGGTGTTCACCACCACCCCACAGTCAGTTTCTTTCTCGAATGTTTTAATGTTCTTTGTAGAGGTTTTTAACCTCTCATACCGATGCTTTTCAGTTACTTTTCTGGTGGTCTTTAGAGTCATGTAGAAACCGAATTTGCAAACAAGGATACTTGCCTCCTTTCATGTTTAATTTGCCTCTTACTGTTGAGCTGTTTTGTCTGCATGTATATCTATGTACCACGTGCAATGCCTGCTGCCTGTGGCGGCCAGAGATGGTATATCAGATTTTCTGGGACCGGAGTTACTGCCAGGTTTTAAGCTGCCGTGTGGGTGCTAGGAATGGAATGGATCCTCTGGAAGAACAGCCAGTACGCTTAACTTCTGAGCTGTCTCTCCAGTGCCTTGTGCTTTTCTCTCGAGCCTGATAGGTGATTAAAATGGCTGCAGATAGCTAGGGTCAGTGTTGGAGGCTTTCAAATTCCCCAGGAGAAGGAAGTTGAGTGGGTGATTAGATCTGTGGATACAGATCATAGGTGGCCTCCCATCTTCCACAGGTGCCATCCACCCTCCTGCCAGGGAGGATGCCAGTAGCAAATGTACCGGGGCTGCAGCCTAGTCCCTGGTAGCGCAAAGCTACAAAGCACCCAGCATATTCCTAGTGAACTGCAGCAAGGGCCAAGCCCCGGCATGGAAATAAGAACACTTTCTCTGACACTTGTTGGCTGGCACTCTGAGAAGGGTCATGTCCAGCTACCATTCTTTCCATTAAATAAAGTGGTAAGCCATAGCAACAGCACGCTCGGTCATCAGAGGACGGAACATCAAACTGGTTGAGGGAAGTTAGTTTAGGAGTCACTGTAGTAGGCAGCTTAGAACCAGAGTCCTCACTCACACCTGAGGGCACCAAGGATTCGAGTAACCTGCGCATTCATGAACACTAGCCATGTCCTTTGTTTCCCATGCAAGATGATGATCTAAGCCCGGGGTCTGAGGGCAAGAGAACCACCAGCATCAAGGTTACATAATACATGACTATTGCAGCCGAGCTGAGTCTCCTCTTCCTACCTGCTGTCACCCAGGAAGCTAAACGCTTGGAAGCCGTAGCCTGCCTTAACTGGTGGTCTCTTGGACGAGCTTTATTCCTGACATTTCCGCCCAGTAGCTGAATGTGAGAGCAGCTGCCACCCAAGGTTGCAGTGCTACAGCTCTCCTGACTTCATGTTCTCTGGAAAAGTGCCCCCTACCCTGAAATTCCTTAAGGTATCCTGGTGGTCAAAGTTCAGTTTTGCTCTTTAAACCTTGTGGTGTCTGGTCACTGGTATTTCTCGACCCAGCTGCTGCCCATCCTACAGGGTAAGCTCATGCCTCATGGGCTCAAGGGCAATCACTGAATCAGAAGTGTAACCAGTGGAAGGAGCGCCCCATGTTTCCTGTTAACTGCTCCTTTACAGAGCTTTTTGCTCCTGAAAGTAGATTAAGTAGGTAGACAGTTAAGACTAGATTGGTTTGTTAGATTCATTCCATGACCCATGCCTTAAAAGGACCACACTGAACTGCATCAGGTGGGTTTCCAACAGGGTCTAAGCTGTGCAGCTTTTCTTCTCAACAGAGAAAGCTATTGCGAAAACATTGTGAGGTTCACAGGCTGCCCCTCTCAGAGCCCAGCCCAGGCACACCCAACTCTACCCTGCTAGCTAGGGGCCAAACCAAGATGGCATTTCAGAATCTGGGTTAGTTCGCTCAACAAGAGTCACTTTGTTCAGTGCAGCTTGGGAAATAGGAAGGAGCTGTTTGTACCTGGTTTCTATTTTGGGCAAGGGCATCTGCTCAGCTGAAATGAGGTCCCCAGCCCACCGTCACCCCCCCCCCCCCGCAATCTGATGTGCAGAAAGAACACAGCCAGACCAGGTGATGCTTGTTACAAAAACCCCTCCCAGGTTGTGCTTACCCATCAGGCTCAGAGCCAACCTTCAGGCACTCAGGGCTCTCACAGGCCCCAGATATAGCTGGGATTGCTTGTGGCTAAGGCAGCTACCTCTTCACCATCCTGATCAGCCACACTGCCACATAACAATACTCTGTGTAGATAACATCATCTCACCACTGAGCACTCACTGAGCCAGCAGTATTTCTACAGTGCTTGGGATGAAGTCAAAGTTTCTTGTACTTTTGAAAATAATGCCCAAACTCTGGATCTTTTCTATCACGAATGTCCCAATCGCCTCTGGGAGTTCTTTAAAACCTCATTTTCCTTACATCCAGGTTAGGACCCCTTCCGATGCTCAGTGTCAGAACTTCCTGTGGAGAAGCTAGCTTGGCTATTTACTAAAGACCACAGAAGTGCTATGCCTCAGCTTTTGTGCAGGGGATCATTTTCCACTTACT